GACAGATTAATGAACTACAAAAGGTAAATAATGACTCCTGGCACAATTCATTGTTTTCATTAAAGCTTTATTAACAGCACATAAATGTCTTTGGCAGTGTGCCTCCACACCAGTGTTAGTGTTTGTTTCCATGGTATCTGTGAAAATATTTACAGCTTTGCAGGTTTCTTTACTGCGTATGTTTAAAAAAAAAGAGAAAAAAAAGCCTGTATTATATAGTATGAATCAGCAGTGAGTCAGTGGCAGAACCTGAATTGTGTTTGCATATAATACTACTGCAGTTCATAAAGGGAGAGCAAAAGCCTGTGATTCACAATTAAAACGTGTAAATGTCTGGTAGTTATTTACAGGCAATGCTCCAAATGAGCCACACGGTGGAGCTGTTGGGTTAAGCATCTCCAACCCTGCTACTTTCACAAGCTGTAACACTCCTGAAGGAAGCTTGCGCTTGCTAACAGATGTCAATGAAGACTTGATACCAGCAGAGAGAGATTTAGTGCTGGTAGCTGAACTGTCACATCTCATGGGCAAAGTGTTGATTTGAGGCCCATATGTCAGTGTCTTGCTTGGATTAAACACCGGATCCAGTTTAGAAAGCTGTTGTTCTTGTTGCCGACACTGTCGTTTTGCAGGAACTTCTTTACGTGAAAGTCTTTATGTCTGGGTGAAGCTGGAAGATCATCCAGACACATGTAAATTAATAAGGCTGGATTGTTATCCATTTTTATTTAAACTGAGCTGATCTGGTGTGTTAGCTTGACTTAAGGCCTTGAATTCAAATGTTCCCCAGGCAGTGATGCCTACTTTAATCTCACTATTTTAAAATCTTTAGAATAACTTGAATATCCTCAGACTTTAAAATAAATGAGACTGTACAGGGGTGTGCAGGTTAACAAGGGTAGACGTATGAACATTTGTCCATGCTCGTTTTTGTGATATCACCACTTTTAAGGAACCAAATCCACCCAGATACATAATGGACAGATGAATGGATCTGTAAAACATGGTGGAGGCCCTGTCATCAGCTGGATTTCAGCCAGTGGTCTTGGGATCTTGTCAAAATTGTAATAATTTTGAATACAGAAAAAGTACCATAATTTTTTTATGAGCCATCTGGAAAGTGTCTGATTGGCAACAGCTTCATTTTTCAGCATCACAATGATCCCAAACACACTCCCAATGCAGTAAAATGATACCAGAATGGAAGTGCTATGAGCCATGGACGGGCCTCTCCAGAGCCCACACCTCAACATTACTTTAAGTCATTACAGTACTGACTTTCAAGCTCACTAGAACTACACAAACTCTGTTTTTGCTTCATATGCTGTATTTCCATGTTTCATGTTCCTAGCAACATATAAAGAAATAAAGGATGGCTCAAGACTTTTGCATTGAACTCTATATTTTGTGGAGGTGCACAGTCAAGTACAGTTTTAAAGCAATTATCACAGCTTATATAAAAGATTAACATATATGTGGGTAAAGGGGAAGTAAGGAAATATTTTTTTCGCCATAGAAAGTACTTTTGCAAATTATTTGAATAAACTCTTTATTCTTTTAAGAACAAATGTGTATAAAGATAAAGGTGTA